CGCGCACAGCCCGCAAGGTGCCCCCACGGGGACGGCCCGGCGCCCGCGCTCCCGGCGGGAACGCGCATCCCCCGCCCCGCCACGGCCGCTCCCCGCCGCTGCGACGATGCCGAAGGCAGTGTGGCCCCTCACCGGGGCTCCCGCTCGGTCTCCCCGGAGAGTGGGGGCGTCACAGCTGGCCGGCGGGGAGGCCCTGAGCTCAGTGCGGAGGGAGCTGCGTCCCCCGCGGGAGCGGTGGGCAGGGTGGGCTGGCTGCCAGGCGCCCCCGGCAGCGGCCCTTCCGCGGGGCACTACAGGGAGGCGATGGACGGCGGGCGGGCTCAGGGGGAACGCGGCCCCGGGGGGCAGCACCGCGGTCGTGCACAAAGGGCCGGGGGCGGTGGCTGGGAGCAGTGGCCGTGGGGCTGGAGCACGGCCGGGAGCGTGGGCGAAAGGGTTAAGGAGTCGCGGCGGGCAGGGGGAGGGCTGGCCCGGCCGAGGGAGAGGAAGGAAGCAGAGGAGGAGAGGAGAGGAGCGGAGAGCATCCTGCCCGGAGGGTTTGCCGGAGGCCCCTTTCCCCCAGGAAGCGGCTTGCGGGGCTTGAAACCGCCGGGATGGAGCGCAGGGAGCCGGGGCGGCGGGCGGGGCTCAGCCTGGCGCTGTGCCCGCAGGCACGCTGCCCCGGGCCGGGTGCCTGGCGCCTGGGCTGCTCCCCTTGCCGGGGTGACCCCGAGGTTCCCGGGCCCCTCACCTCACAGTCCCCCTGCCGTGCTACTCCCATGGCCCCCCGAAACCTTGGGAGGGGGGCAGCCCAGTGTCACACAAGGGCAGCGGGTGCGGGCCATGAGCTGCAGGGGCCAGGAGCCATCACTGCCGAGCAACCCTGCCCTGCGTGGAAGAGCTGTCGCTGGGCTGGTGTCACCTGGAGGCCAGTCCCCGCGCAGCAGCCATATGCAGCATGGGGATAATCCCTGAGGGCCCGAGGCCCAGGGTGCCTGCCTGGGTGCTGCAGCTGCTCTCAGGGACCTTCCTGCTCCCCCAGCCCTCAGGCTGCCCCCAGTCCCCAGCTCAGGGGGTGTACAGGGCCCCCAGCCCTGGTCAGCGAGGCTGAGCCCACACTGGGCTTTGCTCCACCCACCCAAGGTAGAGCCAGGTTCACCAGGCTCCCGTGCCTATGGGGTGTCCTTGCACTGATCTTGTCACTCGGAGAGACACAAACGGGATTACGTATTGGGACACGGCACAGTTCTGCAGCCCAAGCCCCTACCCTGCCCCAATCCTAGCCCCACTCCCAGCCCCATCCATCTGCGTGGGTGATGGAGAGCAGAGCCAGGACACATTCCCATGCTGCAGATCATTTTTCCCAGGCGCTTTTGTCACCCTTCCAACACAGTCCCGAGGCTGTTCCGCCACGAAGGCCACTGTCACCAGCCGAAAGGCGGGGGGGCCGCCCGCCTGCTCCCATCTGCCCGCCCCGCGCAGCTGCTCCCGCCGGCCGGGAGATGGGGCTGAGAGCCCGCGGCTTCCCGCAGCACCGGCGGGAGGGCGGAGAGCTGCTGGCTGGGGAGACCGCAGCGCCTCGCTGGCACCCTCAGCTTGGCCTGCCCGGCTGGGGCTGGAGGTGCACAGCCTCGGCTCTGCCGCTGCGGGGAGGGAGCGGGGGGTGCATGAAGAGGCGTGCGGGGTGAATGTACGTGTGTGTGCATTGGCCTGCATGTGTGAATGGGGACGGTGCTGTACATGTACGTGCGTGGAAGGGGGGTGCGTGGGGGGTGTATGTGTGTGGACAGGGGTTTTGCGTGCGATGTAGCGTGTGTGCGTGGCTGGATGCATGCATAGAGTGGGGGGTGTCTGTGCATGGGGCGTGTGCTTGAGGGGAGTGTGCGGGGTGGTGTGAGTGTGCACACATGGACATGTGTGTGTGTAGGGGTTTGTGTATGGATGGGGGCTGCAGATATGGGGGTGTGGGGGGGGTTGGGTGCATGCCTACATCTGTGTGTGAGGTGTCGCTGGAAGCAGGAACTGTGGTGGGATGCAGTGATTGGATCCCTCCATAGGAGAGGACATGACCCTGCCTCAGCCTCTACCCCCCAACTGTGGGTGCCACGGGCTCCTTTTCCCTGCCTGCTGGCCCACGGGGGCCCTTCCCTCCCCTTCGCTGCCTGGGCACATGGAACACAGGCATGGAAAAATGACACGAAGGTCGTGGAACAGCGGGTATGGCAGGCAGGAGCAGACAGAGGGGCAGTGCCAGCTCCCCTCCTGCCAGTGGGGGAGACAGCAGACTGGTGCCTTTCAGCCCCCTCAGACTCATCTTTCCCTGCCCGGGGGCAGAGGCTTTTTGTATCTCACAGAAACCAGATTCTCCCCGGAGATAAAATCCTGTCGCCTTTGTTTTGGGGAAAAAAGACAACAGCAGCTCCTAGCCAAACAACAGAGTCGTTAAGCAAAGGAATCTCCGGGGAGGGACCGGGAGCCACATCCCGGAGCTGGAATGAGGAATCAGCTGGTGTCCTGGCCCCTGGGGTGCTGGTTCCACCAGGGCTCAGCATTCCTCCCAGGATCAGAACCATACCCATCAGGATTCAGCATTCCCCCAAGGACTACAGCATCTCCCCAAGGACTCGGGCATATTCCGCACTCCCCCCAGACCAGAGTCACTTTCCCTAGGGCTCAGCATCCCCCCAGGACCACAGCATCTCCCCAGAACCAGAGCATCCCCCAGGGACCACAGCATCCCATGCAGGACCAGCAGTGCAGGGGTGTGGCTGTGAAGCTTCTCAGCCCCACCGACACCCCACATTCCAAAAGGGACTCACAGACATGTCCCAGCACCATGCAAGAGGAACCTGCAGCTCCCAGGTGGGCAGGTTCTGGTGGGGCACAGCTGGCAGGGAGCAGTGCCAGGATCTGGGGACTGGGGGCAGGCGGCGGGGTGGGGGTGGGGGTGTGTGGGAACGCTGCCTCAGGAAACCAGCAGGATTTACTGGGCTACATGCTAAATCCCCCTCACAAAAGGGGCCTGTTTGTGCGGACAGGATGCTGGTGGCTCAGCCACACTTGTTTGGCCAGCAGAGCCTGGTGGATTAAGGACAATTGGTTCAGCCCTGACAGAAAATACCAGGAATGTTAAACAATAAAAACTGCCTCCAGTTGTCGTGGGGCTGCGGGACGCCCCAGGCTGCCTCCCTGCCCAGCCATGGCCCCAGCTGCCCCATGCCTGGCAGAGCTGGTTCTGGCACAGACCATGTACTCACTGCTGCAGCTCTGGGGAGTTCACTGGGGGATGTGGTGGTGCCTGAGGATGGGGTATGGGCAGATGGGCACAGTGCTGGGCACTGCCAGGCCCCTGAAAGTATCTCTGGGCTGCACTGGTGTGGATTGGACTGTGGGGAGAAGGCACTGCCTGCAACTGCAGCAAGTCCATAAGTGAGCAGGGACAGAGTGAGGCTGTGGCAGGGGGTGGCAGGTCCCTGCTCACAATGTCTCCTTGTGCCCGCTCCACCTGGCATGAAGGATTAGCAAACCCACCTACTCCTCACCCTGTGGAAGTGGCTGTGGCCCTGTTTTCCATGGAAAGAGCAGCGTAGGGTGAGCAAGAACTGCCTGCCCTCTGTGCTGTCCCCTGCATGGAGACCCCAGTCTCCATGCCCCCCAGTGAGGTAGGGGCAAGCTGGGCACAGCCCCATGGGGTTCAGGCCCTTGTCCATGCACCCATCCATGTTCAGTCCCGGTCCCAGTCTGGGCAGTCTCCGTGGGCAGCCTGGGCAGTTTGCCCTCCAGTGCGTGAATGCCCCATTCAGGGCTGTGCAAAATGCATTGGTTCTGGCACATTATCGGACAGCTGGGATCCTTCCCAGGCAGGCAGGCTGCCGGGACAGGCAGGTTTCACACCTGCCAGTGGGCTGTCTGCCTCCGCCTGCCATGCAGGAATGGGGAACTGGCTCCAGCAGAGGGGAGCAGAGCTGGGGATGGAGGCTGCAAGCATGTCAGTAGGGCTGGGATCCCCCCAGCAGCCCTGCAGGGCCTGTGACATGGAGGGGACCCAAGGATGGCTCTGAAAGCTGCCAGGCTCCCCAGCACATGCAATGCACAACACCCATGGCTGAGCTGAGTCCCACAGTCTGCATCCCTTGAGATCCCAGACCCCAGCACCATCATAGCAGCAGGCAGGACTCCCTTTCCAGCTGCCCCAGGCCCAGGTCCTGCCCCACAGCACCTGCCAGTCCCCATCCCCTTGGGCTGGTTTGAGGCAGGCTGTGCCAGAGAGCCAGCTTCCAGGCTGAGAGTGCCAGCTTCCAGGCCGGGGGGCTGTGAGTGCAGCTGGGAGCTGGAGGAGGAAACCAGATCCTGGGGCTAACGGCCCGGCAAAGCCCGGCCCTAGATGAAACCCTAGACCCCGGGAGTGGGCTGGCAGGAGGGGGCAAGACAGCTGCAACCCTCCCTGCCCACACTGCTGTCATTACCAGGCACCGCGGGCCAAGGGGGAGCAAAGCAGATATCAAGAGAGCAGAGCCAGGGCTGGAGACCTCCAACTTGTGCTCCCAGGGGTGAGGGGCTTTGGGGAGACAGCGCAGAGCCCATAACTCACTTTTATCTGGAGTGCTGGGGCTGGCCTGGGCAGGGGGAATGCAGAGGGTCCCCTGTGCACAGGGCAGGGCCCCAGAGCGCTTTCCCAGCCTGGGAGCCCACGGCAGTTGAGGGATCGGTTTCAGGGCGATGCTGGTAGCGGAGTTCACGGTGGCTTAGTGCAGCAGTGGCTAATAGGGAACAGATGCGAGGGTGCTTTGTGCTGGAGCAGGCCTGGAGGCACGGGAGTGGGGGACATCGCTTCCTGCACCTGTGGCACTGCCTCCGTGTTCCTGTAGAGTGGTCACAGGCCCCCCGCGCTGGCTGGGGTGAGGAGGCAGCAAGGAGGCAGCCGCTGATCTGCCTTCCCAGCTTATGTGAGCCCTTTGCCCCCCAGGAGCAGCCCAGAAACTGCGCTATTGGGGTCTATTCCAAAAAAATAATTTATCAGGTTGATATTTCACGTACATAAATATTCATCTCTGTGGCTATGTACAGATGCAGCAGGAGGCCGACAGCAGTGGGGCTCCCACCCAGAGACACTTCCACCAAAGCGCTGGCCAAAGCCCATCTCCCTGGGCGATGTCATGGGCATCCCACACAGTTCCTGCCTGGACAGGATCTAGCTCCCTCTGCCAAACAATGCGAGGCAGGTCTCAGCCAGGACTGATGGCTCAGTGCCCAAATGGAGCCAGGAGAGAGGGACACCCTGCCCCAGCATTGCAGCTCAGGGCCCTGCCTGCCCACTGCTCACCCCGAACAAAGCAGGGAACCTCCTGGGGAGCCTGGCAGCTTTCAGAGCCAGAAACCTGGACCTGCTCCCAGCAAGGGCAGAGGCAGCCTTGGCATCACCCTTCCCTGCCCACCCTTAAGTCCTCACACTGGGGTAGGAGAAGAGGCGGGGAGCCAGCGGCAGAGGGTCGTGAGTGAAGACGGAGTCGTCGGAGGAGCAGGAGCTGGCAGTGTCCTCGCAGGAGGGTGAGTACTGCTCAAAAGGCATGGAGAGGTCCAGGTACTGCAGGGAGGGACAGTGCCATCACCACCAGTGCTGTCAGTGCCCATGCTGCCCACCCCCACCAGATCCTCCACCTCTCACCTCCTCCGAAACGGCTGCCAGTATCTTGTCCAGCCCCTCCACAAGCTGCTTGAAGGTGGGGCGCTGCGAGGGCACGGCATGCCAGCACTCCCGCATCAGCATGTACCTGGGAGGCAAGTGGTGTTAATGGGGTCTCACTGTGCCCCCTGCCTCCCCACCTGGCCAGTACTCACAGCTCATGGGTGCAGTTAGATGGCCGGTCCATGCGGTGCCCCTCCTTCAGCAGCTTGAAGAGCTCCTCCACAGGAATGCCGGGGTACGGGGAGCCCCCCAGTGTGAAGATCTCCCACATCAGGATCCCAAAGGACCACCTAGGATCACGCATGGCAAAGGGGGGGGGGTCAACCATGCTCAAGGGTCCTTCCCCAGCTTGCCTCTCTGCACCCTGCAGTGCTGTGGGAGCAGGGATGGCAGAGGGTGGCATCACCTCGGGGGAAGATGTGCCCCACTGCTGCTGTCCCCATGGAGCATCTCCATCCTACTCATGGGGACCCTCCAGTATGTGCATAACTCCACAGTGCTGCCTTGTCCCACACAGACAACACACCCTCATTCCCCCCCAGGACTCACACATCGCTCTGGTGGGTGTAGACACGGTCGAACAGGGCCTCTGGTGCCATCCACTTCACTGGCAGGCGACCCTATGAGAGCAACCCCCTGCTCAGCTCAGCCCTGGCTGGGGGTCCCTGTGCCCCTCTCCCGGGACCTCCACTCACGTTGCTGGTTTTCTTGTAGTAGTCGATGTCATGGACGTCTCTGGCCAATCCAAAGTCAGCGATTTTCATCACGCTCTCTGCTGTCACCAGCACATTGCGGGCGGCCAGGTCACGGTGGATGCACTGCGGGGGGGGGAGCGTTGCCCACAGGGGTGTGAGATGGTGGCTCCAGCTCTGTATGTCCCCTCCACACACCCAGAGGTGCTGTTTCTCTCCCACACATCCCCCAGCACTTCTGCAGGGGTGGGGCCACCCCCTCATCAGGCTTTCTGCAGTGACAGGCGCACTGCTGGGACACACACACTCCTCGGGGGGTGGGTCAGGCTTTGAGCCCCACATTTCTGGGGAGATACTGCCTTGAGCCTTGCTGGATGAGACTGGTAGGTTCTGGACAGCCTGTGGGAATGGGTTGGGCTCCCTCTCCATGGGGACAGCACATTCACCAGGGACACACCACTCCCCTGTCACCACCATGCCCTCCCCAGCTGTGCCCAGCACAAACAGCCCGCGTGGGCCGTGCCAGCCCTACCCGCTTCGACTCCAGGTACTCCATGCCACGGGCCACCTGGTAGACGCAGGAGACCAGATCCTTGAAGGAGAGCTGCTCCTCAGGCATTGCTGTGACGTCGAAAGCGTAGTCGGGTGTCGGGGGGCGGCGGGCACGGAGGTACTCACGCAGGTTGCCCTTCGCAGCAAACTCCACAATCACGTACAGCGGCCCTGGGAAGGGCAGCCACTCACTCAGCTCCTGCCCTGTCCCTCCCCAGTCGGCCACTGTCCCCAACAGCCCCCATCCCCTGGTCATGCTCCATGCCCTGTCCAAACCCTGCCCGCACAGCCCCCTCACCATCCTGTGTGCAGACTCCCAGGAGGTTGATGATGTTCTTGTGTTTGTCCATGAGCTTCATCATCTCCATCTCGGATATGAGGTCAGCCAGGTCCTTGTCAGTGGCATTGTCTGGGGAAGGAGGGCAGTGTCACCGTGCCAGCTGGGTGGCACTCCAACCCAGCACTGATGCCACCTCTGTTCCTGGGACACTGGCACAGGAGTCTTTCAGCATTTGTACATTTCAGTACCTTTCAGTACATTTCAGTACCTTTCAGCATTTTGACAGCTACGGTGACAGCTCTGTCTGGCCGGTCTCTGTCGATCCCGTAAGCCTCTGCCCGCACCACCTGGCCAAAGCAACCTTCCCCCAGGGGCTTCCCCAGCACCAGCCTGGCAGGGACAGGCAGAACCGTGAGGGACCACAGGGATGGCCCCACTCCCCACCACCACATGGACGAATCCTGAGGGGCAGAGGCAGTGTGGCTGCCCCTCTCTGTCCAAGCTGAATCCCAGTGCCCCAGGGTACAGAGGTGCTGAGGTGTCTGGTGGTGGCCAGAGACCTCCCCATATGTCACCCACATGCTGCTGTCCCTGGGGCAGCTGGGAGAGCAGCCCCCAGTCCCTGCCCCACATGGCACCGTACTTGTCTCGGGGGAACTCCCACTTGACATCAAGGGGCAGGTCCAGCTCCATGACACCAGCCAGCATTGGGGCACAGCTGGAGGAGAGACGGGTGACGCGCATCAGGGATGTGCTGGACTTCCCGGAGGAGCTGGAGTCCAGGGAGAACTGTGGAGACCAAGGGACCTCAGCCATCCTGCCCCATGTTCCAGGGCCAAAGAGAGTCCTAACAGTGCTGCACAGAGACCCTCACTTGGAGCAATGGGGCGAGGGAGCCACAGGAGGCAATGGGGAAAGGCAGCCCCAAGGCTGGTAGCAGGGTAAGGTGTGACGGGTACAAGTGGCACTCGTGGAGCCAGTTGGTCACCAAGGTCCCCCCTGTGCCCAACAGGGCTCCAGCTCATCACCCACCTGTCGGATGAGTGGGAATTTGGAGAGCTTGTGGACCGCCATGGGCTCCAGGTGCTGCTTGCTCGACTGAGTCTGCATCCGGCAGAGCACCATGATGATGATGGCCATGGCCACGGCCAGAGAGCCTGAGGTGTAGATGATGATGTCCGTGTACTTGGCCTCAGGGGCTTCAGCTTCCCGCACCAGCTCCTCCTCTGGGGAGAGCGAATGAGTTGGCCTGAGGCATGGCCTCTGCGTGCCAGGGGTCCAAGACCCCACCCCAGGACCCCACCCTACCTGGCAGGACGGTGAGCCAGGCAGACTGGTAGGAGAGGCCAATGGAGTTCCCTGCCAGGCAGGTGTACTCGCCAGCATCCTCCACGGAGACATTGCGCAGGTACAGCACCTCCACTTCAGAGCTGTTGATGTCTGCAGTCTGCCAGGGAAAGGGATGGATGGTCAGCATCCCTCTTCCTCGGGGGGCTCTGTGCACCCCTGTCACCACTTTAGGGTGGGTATCTGGGATCTGGGTGCTTCCAGCCCTTTTTACCTTGAGCACTTGCACGTAGGGGACCCCATCAGGACCGTAGTTGCTGCCGTTCACCTCAATGTGCTTCAGCCACTGGATGTGGGGCTGGGCGTCGCTGTAGACCTTGCAGAAGAACTCCACATCACTGCCCACAAGGGCCGTGGTGTTGGCAGGCAGCCCAGCCTGCAAGATGGGCCTGTGCGGGGACCTCTCTGTGCACAGGGAGCAGAGCGGTGTCACTGACACAGTGGCCCAGAGCAGGGGCTCCTTTCTCCCTCCCTCTCCACCCACCATGGAGCCACAGAGAGCCCTTCCCCAGCCCTACAGTAGACCAATGCAACATGAGCCTGGTCTCCATCCCACATCCCTGGGGTGCAAGGGACATGTGGGCTGCACCAGAGAGAAGCCACGAAGCTACTCCACCCCCTTCCCCTGACCCCAACCCCTCTGCCTGGCGTGGGGGGAGCCTGGACCAGCGCTGTGCTGAGGAGCCCTCACCCAGCACATCCAGGAGGTAGCTGTAGCGGATGCTGCCAAACCTGTTTTCCACCAGGCAAGTGTAGTTGCCGCGGTCAGAGGGCACCACACTCTCCATCACCAGGCTCCAATGCTGATGCCGGAGCTGCCGACGGGGGAGATAAGGCAGCAAGGTGAGATGGGGGAGATGGATCCCAGGAGGGGAGCTGTGGTAGGGGGAGCTGACCCGTACCCGGATGCCCCCAATGCGGTGCTCCCCCCGGAACTCGCGCCCATTCTTGAACCAGCGTATGCTGGGGCTGGGGCTGCCCGAGGCCGGGCAGCGGAACTTCACTGTGTTCCCCGCGGGGACCGCATACAGCTTCTTGTCCATCCGGTGTGGGTGAGTCCAGTAAGGAGCTGGGGACATGTGGGACATACAGTGGGAGGGGGCCAAAGGGCAGCTAGGGGCCTGTTCCCAGTTGCCTCTGCTGGGACTGGGAGACAGTAGTGTCCCATGCCCCTGGTTCTGCCCCAGTTGCCCTTTTCTGCAGTGCCCTGGCATGGTACTGACCTCTGGGCACATAGATGGGCTCCTCATTTCGGTCTCTGTGGGGACTGTCGCCATCACTATCTTCATCATCATCACCTGATGCCAGGGAGTCTGCAAAAGGCAACGGATTGAGAGGGACATCCCTGCCCGCAGGGCTGGGTGGGCAGTGGCTGCCTTGCTGCCCTGGGGGTTGCTGGGCAATGCCAGGGCCCCTACCCACAACGGAGATGGTGAAATTGCGCAGGATCTCCCCAGTCCCCCGCGCCCGGCACACGTAGAGCCCTGAGTCCTCATAGGCGACCTCCGAGATCTCCAGCAGACTCTGCCGGAGATGGATGCGACCTCCCGAGACAAGAGGCCGAGACTCCTTGTACCAAACCACACTGGCACCGCTCTGGTTGGCATCACAGTACAGCTTCAGCACATTGCCCGGGTCCAGCAGGAGATGTTCTTCTTCTGACTCCAGCAATGGGCTCTCAAATAGCTCTGGAGAGACACGGTGAGTGCCCACCCTGGTGCTCACCCCTCCCAGGACCCCACCACATGTCCACCCCAGTGCAGAGAACATGTGGTATGACACAGGCTGGTGCCCAGCTCTGCCACCCCGGAGGTGGGTGAGGGCTGGACTGCCCTAGGGCACAGGAACATGCTTTACCCAGTGGTATGTCCTGTCCAAGGCCACACATGGCACCATCCTTCCACCACTCCCAGTGGCACAGGTGCTCCAGCCCATTCTGCTTCACTCAACCCAGCAACAAACCCACCCGGTCACCCATCGTTGGACCTTCACATGCCCCAGGCACGGCCGGGACCATTACGCTTGGCTGTCTCTGCCTGGCTGTCTCCGGAGATGCTCAGGCTGGCAGCAGGGCCTTGCCTGACCATGGCCAGCAGCAGCGTGTGCACCTGGAGGGCAGACACCACCTGGCTGCCAGAACGGCAATACCAGCGCAGCCCGACTGCCCGCGTGCAGTGGCCTGGGGGTCAAAGTGCGTCCCCAGCCCTCTGCGTGGCCAGTACGGGTGGGATGTGAGGTAGCTGGGCCTCTAGTCCCCTGGGACGCGTCCTCCTCCCGTACCCACCATGGCGAGGCACTGCCGGCACCTCACCAGGAGCCACGCAGAACTGCGACAGCCCACGGCAGTCACGCCACTCCGCTCTGCCACGCATATCCACCGAGCGAGCCAAGCCTCCGCGGCACAGGGACAGCCTGCCTGGAGCCACCCTGCTCCTCCCAGCCTCCACACCTCCTCTCCCGATGATGGAAACGCTGGTCCCCGTGCCATGTCCCTGGCTCCCGCCAGCCCAGCCCCGCAGGCAGAGCGGTGGGGCTGCGTGCCCAGGGTGAGCACTCGCACCCCCAACCCGGGGCTCGGTGCCCATCTGGGATGGGGAAAGTATTCAGAAAGCATGACTCCCTTCCCGCCACCTCCCGGCCCCGCTTCGCCCCCCGCAGCCGTACCTGGCTCCATCGCCTTGCCCTGGGCAGCCGCCGCCAGCAGCAGCCCTGCCACGACCTGTAAGAGGGGCCGCATCTTCCAGGCCCCCGCGGCGAGGGGGGTCCCACCCTGCGGGACAGGCAGGGCCGGGTGAGCGGATCCGGGCGAGCAGCCCCCTCCCGTCCCGGGGCACCGGGGAGCAGCGGCGCGGAGTTCCCAGGGCACGGCGAGAGTGGGTGAGCATGGAGGGGAGGCAGAGAACGGGTGTCCCTGGGCAGTTTGAGATCCCTTACAGAGCCTCCCCCCCTTGGGAGTGGGCATGGAGAGGGGGGAACACCCCGTTTGGATGCCGGGAACACGACTCGCCCTGCCAGCGGCAGCCTCGTCAGGGCGCTGGGGGAGGTTTACCGGGGGAAGGGGGACCGTGGGGATTCCAGGGAGGGGGGAGAGTGTCCCGAGTGGGGGATCCCGAATAGTCCCGGGGGCGAGGGTCGCGTTGTTACCGGTGGTGACGGACTCCCGCGGCGGAGCCGCCCGCGCTGCGCGGGGAGGGCCCGGGCAAAGTCCGGGGGCAGCGGGCTCAGCGCCGCCGCGCCCCGCACCGCAGCCCCATGGCGGCAGGACCGGGGACGGCTCTGGCTCCGGCTGCAGGCAGGGCTGGGGCTCGCTCCGGGCTGGCTCCCGCCCCACTCTGCCGCCGCCGCGGGGGCGCGGGCACTTTGTAGGGGCGCGCTCGAGTTACAGTGGCCCCGCCCGGAGCGCTGGGGAGGCGCGGGGGGGGACGGGGACCGGCCCCACTCCGCCGCCTCCTTTGCAAACCGACCCGCCGCCGGGCTGAGAGGACAGTGGGAGGCGGCACCGACCGCGACCCCCCCCCAACAGCGAGAGGCGGCCCTCGGGCCCCACCGCTGCACCATCCCCGGGAGGGTGGGAACGCGTGTGACTGAAAAACACCCGGGGCTGCTCCCTTGTGCCATCTCCCAGGCAGACCCCACGCGTGGAGAGCAGCAGATGGGTCGATGGGACAAGGCCACCCCCGTTTCCTCCCATGGCACCCCAGTTGCTGGGAGCGGGAGCACCCCGGCCCCGGGATGCCGAGGGTGCCCCGGCAGCAGTGCCCGCCGGCAGATGCCCTGGCCCGGGCTGGGCGCGGAGCGTTGCTGGGTACCCGGCAGCCCGCACGCTAATTGCGCTGTAATTAGTTGTAGTGTTATCGCTGCCGGTGCCATAAAGCGGCTGTGACCCTCATTAGGAGCCCATAACGGAGCGTCGTAAAACACCGAGAGGCTGCGAGCCGGCGTTGGAGTGGCCTAATCCGGCCCATAAACACTTCGTCCTCGCCTTCCCCGTGCTGCTGCCTGTGCCAGAGTGGGCAGACCCCATGATGCCCAGGTCACGCTGCCCATCTGCCCGCGCAGGACCCCTAGGCACTGGGGGATGCCTGGCCTCACACACTGACTTAGTGTGGTCCTCAGGAACACCTTCCCCTGGGCATCTCGCTGCCAGCAAGGGGGGACAGAAGGTGTTCCCAGCACACAGCCAGGGTCCGGTCCCAGCGTTGCTCTTCGTTGCTGCATCGCCATCTGCTTCACCATCTCTCTGCTTTCCAGCAAGACCTTCTAGGGTCGTGCTGAGCCCCACATGCAGCATTGTCCATGTCTGGTGTGGAGCCTGAGTTCGTGTGAGTGGGATGCACTGTCACTGTCACCCCTCACCCTGTAGGGCCACACTGCCAGGGCCAAAGCACAGCCACATCTGTACTGCTCCAGGACGCCAAACCAGCAACTTTCAGCATGACATGGCTTCATTGTGAGGTCTGGTTGGTGCACCGTTCCCCCATGCTGCTGGGGTGCTGGTCCCCCCCCCGGGGTGCAGAGGTGCACAAAGCAGTCCCAGGGGCCAGCAGCCCCCAGCAGCTGTTCATTCCTGCCGATGCGTGAAGCGGACGAGAACATCAATTTCACGGAGCAGCGGCCACCCCTGCAGAGTTCACAGTGTGCCGGAAGCACAGAAAAATGTTGGGTTCAGCTCAATTCGAACCAAAACCAAATTAAAACCAGAGAGAAGGGGTCGTTCCCAGTGCTGGGAACACCAGGGGCGAGCTGGGACTCTGGGGAGCCCATGGGAACCATGGCCTGGGATGGGCAGGGAGAGATCCCCTGTATCCCAGGGTTCCCCGATGCTGGGTGAAAGCAAGGCAGAGAGACCAGTGCTGGCACCTCATCCCATGGCACACCAAGCATCCCTGCTGGGTCAGGGCAATGCTGGGCACAGGCTGGGGCTTGGTGGGATGGAGCTGTGGGCAGCTGGGAACAGGTAGCCTTTCTGCCATGGGGCAGTGCTAGGCTGGGGCTGGGCTGCCTGGCTTGATTTATAACAGCAACTGATGGCAAACAAAAAGCCCTTCACAGCAGCACAGCCCCACCGCCTGCCACCCGCTGCCAGCAGCACCGCCACGGCCTCTGCCACGCCAGCAGTTCAACAAGGGGGGATTGTGCCAGCACAGCACCCTGTGCTGCTAGTGCACCCCTGTCCCAGCACCCTCCTCTGCTGCTCCTGTCTCCCCAGCTCATGGACTGTTCCCATCACTGCAGCACCGCACGGGACATGTGGCCCCTGCCTGCTGAGCCACAGTGGGAGCTCAGATGCAGTGGGGTACCCAGAGAGGGAGTGTGTCCCCATAGCCCTGCAGATGGGGCAGGTGGACCCACTCTGCCCCATGCCCAACTGGGAGAGGTGACCCCCTGGCCAGACCCTCGGGCTCACTTACAAGTGCAGGGCCCCACGGCAGTGAGCACGCACGAGGGGCCGGGCGCCGGCATGCTGGACCTTCATCCTCCCGCCCCTGCCCCTTCCCCCAGGCAGTAAATCATCCCCACTCCTCTCATGAAAGGCCCATGTATGCACTGCCGGTGCAGGGAGCCTGCCTGGTGCCAACAATATTGCTCTTGGAAGGCAGCCGGAGCTGCGGGAACACAGCCGCCCCTTGTGCCTGGCCCCAGCGCTCGCCGACACTCCCGCTGTGGTGGCACCTGTGGCCGGCATGAGCACACGCGGCACCGTGGGGGGCCGGAGCCTGGGGGGCTCTTTCCTCCTGGAAGTTTCTCTTGGCTTCCTCTGAACAGCAGTTGTTTGAGGGGCAGGAGCCCCAGCTCCCTGTACCCCATATGTGTATGAGGTCCAGGAGCTGAGGCTGAGCAAGCTCATGCCATGTACTGGGGTGATGGGAACCCCTTGGCACAGAGGGAGTGGGCCAGCCCTGAAGTACAGGGGTGAGCCCCAGCACAGGGGCTTCCAGCTCCATCCAGCCCCACTGGCCACATGGCAGCTTTCAGCCACAATCTGCTGCCCTCACATCCATGGGGACCCACCAAGGCAGGCAGGGCCCATGGCAGAGGGGCAGCCACCCCAGGCTGGGCAGGGCACTCTGCAGGGGCTGGGTGCAGTGCTGGAGGTGAGCAGCCAGGCTCAGGGCAGTGCTTCTCACCAGGCCCTGGTCTTGCCTGCCCATCCTTATCTCCAGCTGGGAGGGACTGATGGAACAACCCAGCTCGGTTAAGGTTTAACCAGGCAGAACTTGGCAAACATGAACCTGCTGCTCCCTCTGGGGAGCCAAGAATGTGGGGCCCAGCACAGGGGCTGCAAGATAGGGACACTGAGGTCCTGGGCTTTGGCCACAGCATGGCACAGGAGCACTCACAGACTGGGGCAGGGAGGGCTGAGCGGGGAAAATGTGGGGTGGGGGTAGCCTGGCAGCAGAGCAGGCAGTGCCATGTCTTGTCCCTGCTGCAGTCCTGTTGCCCCTTCCTGTCCCGGCTGTGTGGGGGAGCGCTGGTACTGCAGGCAGCACGGGGAACAGGGTGCATGGGGCCAGGATGGGTGCTGCTCCCCTTGGGGATGTGGCACATGCCATGTGCTGGGCTGGGAACCACGGTGCCCACCTGTGGGCCAAGCAAGCAGGATCTTTGCCTCCCAGCCCTGTCCCCTGTACAGCACTGGGGAGAGCTGCAGCCACGGCAGGGGGCTGTGAGGCAGGACCGGGGCCACCCCGATGCTCCCAGCCCGTAATCGCAAGCAGGCACCCGGCCCTGACTCCACATCTGCACCTGATTTACTTGCTGGAGCCAGTGAGGCCACGAGGGGTGGCAGCGGTTGGGGCTGCAGCTGGGGCTGCGCTCCCCCCGGCTCAGGGGGAGCCCACGGCCCAGCCCTGCACGGCCCAGCCCTGCACTTCTAGAGCAGCGGTTGGCCCCACGGAGCTGCTGTGGTGAGGGCAGGGGAGTGCAGCGCTTCCGTGGGGGACGTGGCTGGCGGGCAGCTCATGCCCTTCCCCGTGTCTGCCAGCCTGGGAAGCGCTGGGGCTCAGCCCAGAGAGGCAGCCAGAGCCCTGGTTCAGGGCAGGGATGAGCAGAGCTGGGCCGACAGCATGCCAGCATCAGGGCACACCTGGGGACAGGGGCTGCTCTCTGTCCTCAGCCTCCCTGGGCTTGTGGGTGGCTCTGGCCCCACAGCCTGGCTCCAGCTCCCCTCTTGTCACACCTAGGCATGCCCGCAGGTGCTGGTGTCCCTCTGAGAGCAGCCCAGCAGCAGGATGGGCAGCCTTCCAGAGTGGGGACAGGGAGGAGGTGGCCACTACCAGCCTGTTGCCAAACCCTCCTTTACACCAGATACACACTTCCTCTCACACCGCACCCACCTTCACAGGAAGCAATTACACAATGAAAACTACTCTAAAGGGAGTGAAGTATTTGCTGTCTAGCAAGTCTCTTCCAGCTGGATCCTTTTCCTGACAGATTCAGTCCTCGTTCTGCTCAACGAGTGCATACAGGAGGGTAGGGTTTTGCTTATCCAGAGGGATAATGAAACCGTTGTGGGCTGGCAAAGGATGTGCGTTCTGGGGCCACCAACAACTCCAAGAACAGTGCTGCAACTTGCTCTAGAAGTCTTGGCTGAAGTAACTGTAGCCTCCTGGGGCAGTTGACTCTTCCCGGACATACTGCTGCGGTGGGAACGGTCCGACAACTGGCACTGCTCCTGGCATCCTGCACATCGAAGGGAGCAAGAGGAAAACACAGGAAAAAAAGGAGACAATGTCACAAATGCTCTGAAATGTGCCAGCTGCAATCACTGCTCAGCAGGCACGGCTGTCAGCAGAGCAACAGCCCACTGCAGCCAAGGCAACAACTTGCCAGAAAACCTTCCAAGTGCATCCTTGCCCTCTGTGCCTGTGTGTAAACAGACACCTTTAGCACGGCAGAATTAGCCGCGGCACAGCTCAAGGACTGCTAAAGAGCTCCCATTACAAAGCAAGCATCCTGCCAGGCTGCAGGAGCTGGAACAGGACTGCATGGCTGAATCCAGAGCAGCTTTCTGAAAAGTGGCTGCAACAGCTATGACAACATCTGTGTCCTTAAAGGGAACATTCACGTGTGTGTGTGTTGGGAACATCCTCAATGCTATCTCTCTGGAATGGGATACGTCCTATTCACTCATTCAGTTGTGCTGTTTGAAAGCTGAAACTTTTCTGGGATGCAGGATGGAGCACAAGTCTTCCAATCAAGTACTCCAGAGAGCCGAGGGACCATGGGGCTGTTATTTCATAGACAAGCAACAAGAGACTCCAGTTTTCTTCCTGACTCATTTGGGAAATTTGGCTACGAGCCTGTCCTCACTTGAGGTAGGGTTTCCTAATACCTCTTCCTTCTAAGAAGCTTTCTAAGCAACCCAGGTTCATTATTGAGTCTCTTTTAGTGAAGGCTCTTAAATTAAAGATCTGAACTTTGACAGTGTTCAGAACAAGTATTTTTGGTATTAATCACCTGGCAACCTGATTTTTTTCATTTAATAATATATGCAGGGGATGCCATTATTTAACTTGCCAGCTGTGAGAGGGAGTGAAGGAATACAGTCCAGGTTTCTGGAGCACGCTGATTCCATGCCAAATTTTACAACAAGCAACCCCAAGGGAGATTAGAATGGCAAGCAGATCTCCACTGAGCCAGTTCTTAATTAAATTAAAATCTCAGCTGTTAAGAGAAACTGTGTTTAATGGGTGTCAGGCTCACTGCAAACGTCTGTGCTGAGCTGAACTATCAGGAATGGAAAGAAACTGGAAGCAGCACAGCCGGGCTGTCTGCAGAGGGAGCTGTTGGAGTGGCGTCAGGACACACAGAGAGAGCCTGCACAGACCCTGCTGTTATGCTTGGAAGTCAGCTGGAGACACGCGTTCAAAACCGCATTTTAGATTATATTTAGGCCATTGATTTGAACAGCGAGGCTGGAAACACACTTAGACAAGAATGTTACTTACTGATTCTTGTGTTTGAAGCCACTGATGTGAGCTTGGTACTGCTCTATGGAGTTCAGCACTATGTTACATGTGCTGCAGGGGTAGCCCTTCCCGGCTGAAACAGACAGCAACGTTAGCACACACAGCCAGCCAAACCCGGTGCCTGACTTAGAAACAAGCGAGATAATCAATCACCTCATGTGTTAAACAAC